CTCTCGACCTGTTAAACAGTACAACGATATTAAGAAGATTGACAATTATATTTAATTCAAATACAAATTTATATCGATTATACTTATCTTCAATTGATTCATTTGTCACCATGCTTATTGGAGCTTGGAGTTTCTTGAAATCACTTCAGGTCGACCTGATCCCATACTTGAGGAAGCTTGGATGACGACCACGACGTATTGTGGTACAAACATCTAAATGTAGCACTTTTATCACAACCGCGGACGTTACTGCTGATAAGTTACACACAATTTATGAGTACCAATAGAGCACCATTAGTTGGCAAGTCACACGCTGCATCTTCCAGGCACATTAATTGCCTCCCTTGATATTAGACGATTGTACGTGTAGATTTTTAGACGACATGCACACTTGTTATATTCTCTTGCACATCCTGTCGGCAGGATTTAAACACATGATGAGGACGGATGAGGACACATTTATGTATGTATGCTGATGTATCTAATTTTAAAATATTTTTCTATTTTTTGGCACTTAAGACTTGAAATAAAGAACGTCCGGGAATGAATGGGAATGCGCGCTCTAGCGAGTATATTGACAAATCAATAAACCCGCGAACTATAATAATTTAAATTTCTGAAAGCCCACTTCATTAGGGTCAATTTGGTATATCACTCTTAAATTTCAAAAATGGATAAGGGTAGAAGAAGCTTGTTTGAAAGGGAGCTGTTAGCAAAACGAGTGATGGAGTTCTACAACACGACAGCCAACCGAGACTCCAAGGTGACCTGGAACTTTTTTAAGCAGGAAGGAATTCCAAGTTCAAATGTGTATTCCTACATAAAAAAGTTCAAGGATTCCGAAAATGTGCAATTCAAGAAGCCAGCTGGTCGTCCGGCGAAGCTAGCGACCACTCGAGTGAAAAATAGAATTGAAAAAATTTTCAAAACCAAGCCATCAACGTCAGTAGCTGTAGCTGCCAGGAAAGTCAAAATTTCCAAAAGCTACCTGGGGGAAATTAAGGTCCATAAATTAGGAATCAAAGCAAGGACCAAAAAACCTGCACCAAATTACAAGCCCGTACAAGAAAGTCGGATCAAGGATTGCTGTCAAAAATTGTTGAAGAAAATGCGTGGAAAAGTAGTGATCCTGGGTGACGAAACGTATGTTCCGGTTGACCCTTCAAACCTTCCAGGGCGTCATTTTTTTCATAGCTCGGATCCCTCTGAAGTGGCTTATGAAGAAAAAGTACGAAAAAAAGACAAATTTCCAAAGAAATATTGCATTTGGCAATGCATCTCCAGTCACGGACATGTATCAGACCCGGTAGTTCTCGAAGGGAATATCAATCAAGATATTTATCTGAAAAATTGCGTCAAGGCTGGATTGGAAGCATTTATTAATAGGTTTCACAAAAATGATAAAGTTTTGTTTTGGCCTGACCTCGCCACTTGTCACTATGCAAAGAAAGTGACCGAGTACCTCAGAAAGAAAAATATTGATTTCGTACCAAAAGATATCAACCCACCTAATGTACCCCAACTCCGCCCAATCGAAAAATTCTGGGCACGTTCTAAGTCAGTATACTCCCGGCTTCAAGATGTGCCTGACACCTTTCGAAAATTCAAAGGACGATGGAAGAAAATCACCTCGGAAGTGGCAAAAACTTCGGGAAAAAATTTAATGAAAAATCTTCGCAAGAAAATCGAACTAGTCGCCAACGGGGGTGTGGCGGCCTTAGCTATTAATTAAATTATGTAGGTACGTATTTGGTATTATACATATGCAAAAAGTTTAAAATTCCGATAACTCATTGTGATTTTATGACCACATTTTCAGACCATTCCCATTCATTCCCGGACGTTCTTTAATTAAAATTATTAATTGCCTTGAAGATTTGACTAGAAGTGAAAATTTTCATGTGTATAGCTTAAGTTTCCCACCAAGTGCGTATGCCATTGAGTTGAGAATATTGTGAAAGAGTTGCAAAACTATTCACATTTGACAAAATTAATGCAGTGTGAAAAACTGCCGCATCTTAGATGTGGCGTTAAAATGATGCAGCAAAAAAATGACGCAAATATGAACGATTTTGCATTTTTTGATGTGGATGATGTGGAAATCAACATCAACATCAAAAAATGCCGCATCACGCAGCAAAAAACGCATATGTGGCTGAGGCCTTATTACACAAAGTATTCGAATTCTGACTACGTGCCTACTGGCATCTGTAAATGTCAAGGCATATCTATGTAGGCAAGGCATGATATACCATGATCTTAATAATTTTAATTAGCGAAACGATAGCGTGGTTATATAAATTCTTTAAAAAAAGATTAAGGTGAATATGTTCATCAGGAATATGTTCATCAGGAAGATAGAGGGAGCGAGCGAGCGAAAGGGAACGTGGCAACGTCGCAACCCAACTTCGGACGTACGAAAGGAATGAAAATAGGTATATTGATTCTATGTACCAACGCGTAATCGGAATTGTTTTTCGAAAAGTCAATATAGGTTTCCTTTGCAACTCGAACCTCAAATATGGTGCGACTCTACGTGTACAAAAAATTGTTACCACTTTGTCTACCACGTACAATCCATATTGGAGAGCTATGCGACAATTGGTATATAAATTTCACGGCTACCAGTTTATAACTTGTAAGTCGGAGTCATTTATATCGTTCAAGTTTGATCTAGTCCCGTTTCAACCGGCCGTTTGGGGAGGATTTTGTATTGCCATTGTCTCCGTCTTTATTTCACTCGGCTTGTATCAAAAGTTAAAAAACGTTAAGCACTTTTCACCTTGGTGGTTTATTTTATCAAATATTTTCGATGAAGCTACACACATCCCGGGGCGGCTAGAAAAGCAAGAATTCTTCCGAATTGTGGTTAGTGGATGGATTCTGATGGTTGTAATACTAACCAACTGCTACAGTGGGCTAATGATCACCGACCTAAATTCCCCACTCCTAGGGACAAATGTCCAGACAACTTTTCAAGATTTAATGTGCAAAGATAAACAAACAGTTGAATTTTATAGGGAAGGTGCCAATCTAACTGATTGGATCTTAACGCATATCGATGGTTGGATGCCTTCGGAAACAAAAAACATTTTGTTAACTCCTGTTACCAGATATTATCAAAACGTATATTTAATTTTCGCATGTTTGAGTATTTATGTGTCATATTTATTGGGCGTCCGCTACGAGCTTGTGTCAATTCGGTCCAGTCTCTTTTACGAGCCAAGGAATTTAATGGACCTCGTTTCCTTGGATACCATAACTTCGGTACTATTTGAGAAGTGCAGTCATAAATATTTCCCCGAAAATTTTAACGATTCTTCAGGTCAGTCGGGTTAACTATCCTAGATTCAAATATTTAGTCCAAATCAGGACGTTCCCAACTGCATCCCATCGCGAGGACGCTGCTTTATCGGGAAGTGGATTACATTAAAGCTCATTGTGCGAACGGCACTAGACATGTACTTTCAGTTGCACATTTGTGGGGTATCCTGTAAAATTGGACAATTTTGTTGTCAATGTCAATACTACATACATATTGTGTATATTGTCTACTACATATGTATATTGTCCACGAATAAATAGAATTCTATTCTAAGCACATGCATTAAACCGCCCCTAACATTTACAAAATATGTAATTAACGTGGTATCCCCACCACTGCTTGGGGAGATGTTCTGGAAGCCAATAATTTGCACCTGCGGGGGCGTGTTAATAAATACGAAGAATAATTATTGTGTCAATAGCTTCACACTCTTAATAATTTGGGGAAAGCCTTATTACCAAGATACTATGCCACTCGAAATGCATATGGGACAATTAATACGAAAAGTGACAAACGCGTTGGTGATATTTTTATGTATTACCTACATAAGCGTTGACAGTGGAGGATTTAGTCTTTCTCCGAACCTTTGGGTGATAAATTATGATAAAACCGGTAGAGAAAGTTACATATTACGTCATCAAGCATTCTCGATTTTAGTACCCGCCCACCCAACGTATACCTACATTAAGGGAGAGGTAATTATTACAGCAAAAAACCTGCAGTGCAAACTTCATATAGCCCGAGTCAGGGACAGGGTCCTGACTCCTTGACTCCTAGCCCGTTTCTAGATTTTTCTCCGAATTGACCGACGTAATAATGCGAACCTCCTTAGTGGGCATCTTTAACAAGCTATATGTGCTATCAAGAAGTGGTTTTTAGCCCACATACCAAATTTCAGATGGTATTCACGACTTTTAAAAAACGGTATGGGTCACCCCATAGGGTGGCTCTAGATAAGAATTTTATCAATTTCATTTCATATTCTTCCAATAGGACCCATTGGCAACCTCTCTACCAAATTTCAGCTCGATATGGCGATTTTGAAAAACCAGTATGGGTCACCCCATAGGGTCCCTCAAGATGAAAATTTTTCCAACTTGAATGAATTTTTGTGTATTAGAAGCCATTAGCAAATTTCAGCTTTCTACGACGATTTTGATATTTGACCCCACCCGACCTATGACCCCCACCGGTCAACCACTGGACCGATTTTGCTCATCTTCGAACTTGATTCCTAATTTGGCATGTTCTAAGTGTGTGCAAAGTTTCAAGTCGATCGGTCAATGCGTTCTAACGTTATCGTGCGAACGGACAGACGGACGGACAGACAGACATGACGGTTCCATAAGCCCTGACTCGGGCTAAAAAGATGTGAAGAAGTCCCTCGGTAGGCAGAAATCTTTGGTCAAAATTATTCTATTTATGAGTGTATGTACATACGTAGATACGATGTTGTTCAAGGAACTGGCTATATTTAATACATAACACAACTCGACACTCAACCTTTTCCGTCAGCACATGCAATAACTCAATAATTTGAAAGAAGGCTGATTCCTGTCCTCCCATCCTCATACATAGATAATTATTGAGTGGACAATATTTCTCTCGGTAGTATTGACTTTTTGTGAAAATTGGCGTCCATTCTGTTCTTAACCCCACTTGTGAATATTTATCTTATTCCTTTCGTTCCATGCACTTGTTTATTCCCATGAGTTCAAAAAATTAAAGGAAAAAATGCTCTTTTCTAGAAGCATTCGATACGTAAAAGTTCAACTAAACTCCCTCTCGCTGTTTGGATTAGATCTGGCTTGCTACAATTCTGACCTCTCTGAATTCCAACCGGTTCGAAAGGCTTCACGTTTTCTTAACTTGAAAATATTCCTAGTTTTTGCCACAACGGGTGGAATCGTGCTGAATGGAGGGTACACATTGGTTTTCCTCCCAGTGGATGGAATTTCCCATAAGATTTTTATACTCATGTTCATCTCTGCATTTACGACGGGCATGTGTGTCGTGGTTCCGTTATTGTTACGCCCATTGAATTATATTTCTCTGCTCAATATCCAGCTAAAAATGGAGGCTGGGTTATTCAAAAAATTAGGTGAGTTCATATTTTTTTTATAATTGGATTACACGGAGTTATACTGGAAACTCGTAGAAAAAGTTTTGATTTATTTGTCAATATTTCGAATGCTATCTGCCATTCATTATCAAGACATTTGTAGAAGATGTTTTTTTTATTTTTTTTATATCTCGCGAAATATGTAGAGATTCTAATCGACCGAGTAATTCGTAAAAATGTAGCAAAATCAATACTACAGAACAACGCCATTCAAATTATTTTATCAAATTTATGTTGCGATTAAAAATACAGAACAAAAATGTTGTGAGATTTACTTTGTCGCGAAACTCAGTAAGTAACTTTTCAGAGATAAATATTTTTATTGAGCTTTTTCATTCCAAAAACATCCAGAGATTTTGAAAATTATGTAGCTTTAAAAATGTATAAGTTCGCACAATGTGTTTCAAAATAGCTTTCCCAATTTTTAAGGAACAGAAACCAGTAGGTAAATGTTTTTCCTAAATGAATACTTGTAACTTCTAAAGCGATACTTTGTTTTCTTGACTATGTATTACAGAAGTTCCTCCCATATGGAAATTCTGCCTCGAAATATGTCACATCTCGGCTGTCATATCGTCCATCGCAGTTCCTGCGGCAGTAACCGTTTTCGCGTTGTATGACCCCACCCACGCTCCTTACCTGGGCTCGTTGGTTAGGACTAGTACAAATTCGTGCCGGATAGTGAAAACAATCATACACGTGGCCCTTCTACTCCTCCAGGGATGGGATTTCATGATAATTACAAACATATTTTGTATTATGGTGGTCCAAATATTTTTTGGCATGCTGATCTTTATTGCCGCATTTTTATCAGCTTTGACAAGGTATATATTTTATTCTGCAATGGAGGCGCAAACCATGTTCAGCCCAGATTATTTTTTGACCATATTAGTTTAGCATTCTTAGATATTCAACATTGCGTCCGTGTATTTGGGGCCGTTCATAAATTATGTAACGCAAAAGTCGCAATTTTATAAATCTGAATACTCTCCCCCACTTAAACTGTGTCAAATATGCACGATGCAAGGGGACCTTATACTTCCCCTCTCTCACATTTACACACATAATTTATGAACGTCCCCTTATACATATACAATCTCTGTAAGTTTATGTACTAAAGTCATCCCAATCCTGTAATTCACAGGTCCATCAAGGGTCGACAACTCAGTATACAGGAACACTTCCGGTTATACAGAGGACTGAAAATATTAACTTCTCGATTAAATTTTCTCTTCCGGGGACTAATTCTACCAGCCATTCTACTCTATGCAATTTCCTGTAACGTGCTCGGAACTTATTTGACCGTATCGATAAACTCTGGAATATTCGAAGAATTGCGAAATGCTGTATTTCCCCTATTTGCAGTCGAGACAGGGCTCACAATTTTAGTCCTGGGAAGAGTTGGAGGGTTGATACATAAGCGTTCGAAAAAGTGCGTCCTGCTCTTAGGACGCGATAAAAGTAGGATGGCGAAATCGTGTCATCCTTTAAAAATTAAGTTTGGCACTAATTTTATCGACAGTTCGACTCCACTCGTAATCATATGCTTTTGTGCTAAGAATACGGCTCGATTGTTGCTATTGGAGGAATAAACAAATTGTCTTAAAAACGAAAGAAAATTACGGTATTTTTCGAGAAAAGTTTTAATTCTGCACACTCTGCACAAGATTGTGACTCATGTCTCAACTTGTCGCAAATTGGGAAAGGAACTTCAAATTAAATTATGTATTAAATTACCCCAAGAAATAATTAAGTGACTAATATAAGCAGACGTTGTGTATTGATTTTACCACAATAAATAAAACTCATCGTCATATTGTTAATAATATTAACCTCTCTGTCCCCATTGTAATAATCCCCAAAACTCAACCACGATCATTCACACAAAATCATCCATTACTAATTTCTCATGAACTCAAATTATTCGTGGATAGTGTTTCCCCATTATGTATGACTTTCAAATAACGACGAAAAATAAGTTCTTTTTAAGTTGAAAATTAATTAAAAAACACTTATGAAATTATTTATTTAAATATGCAGATTACAACAAATATTCCAAACTTTTAACTGTTGCATGCTTTAAGAAATTGGATTTCCCTAATTGCCCATTAAGGGGATAATTGCAATAAGTGTTTTTTAATTAATTTTTTCATTTAAATGGAACTTTTTTCTTGTCATTATTTGAAAGTAATGCAGACATAATGGCTGTGCATCATTGCCTTATTACCGTGTTGTCATTGGGCATTGGTAAGTTTTATTAAAACACATTTAGATTTTTTTAAAACACAATTTTTAAGTTTTTGTTATCTAGCCCTCTCAGTTACGAATGGGCTTGAATGTCCTCCACCAAAATTTGTGGATGGTGTGGCAACAGAAATATCCCTTGAGAAACATCCCGTTACTGGCGAAGTTACAGAGTTATGCAAAGCCCTTCCTAAAAGTTGGGGAAATGTCTTAGACCTCGTAAACTGGGCGGCAGAAGAAAACACCAAGGTTTTTGTTAGGGGGAAACGCCATTTTGAAAGAAGGAAGCGATCGTTGAAAGAAGAAGAGGGGCCCGAAGCCGTATCCTGATGGTTTCTCCGATGGAATTTGCGACTAAAATTAATGTCAATAGAGCAGAGAGTACGGTTAAATTCGAATCTGGCGCTACCTTAGGTAGGTAAATATACGAAAATGGTAACAATTTATCTTGGTTTTTGTGCCCATCAGAAATGTTTGCAGGTTCTGGAATATTTTGCATCTACTTGAGAATTTTTCTACAATTTGGTCACTTGAATTAGAGACTTTTTTTATTTTGAAATTTTCCGACCATAATTAAAATTAAAAATTGCGAAGACCCGTTCGTAGATTAATGCAATGAAATATTTGATAACAAATGTATTTTGTATTTTTTAAATTTTACCAAAAGAATCTCCGATTCAACGACCAAACTGGGATTACATAATGTTTAACTCCTTTAAATACTAAAATTTTCAAATTTATTTCCCTCCGAATTTACTGCGTAACCTCCCCCCATTAATTATGTATTTTTCTATTCAGGGGAATTGCTGTCCTCGCTGGCTGATCACCAACTGGGCCTCTTTTCCGTTCCAAACATTCACAACGTAACGATGGGGGGTCTTCTGGCTGGCACCGGGGGTCATGGGGATACCTCCGCCGGGACGAGTGGAACGATTTCGAACCTCATTATGGAACTGAATTTTATCGGGTATAACCCCACCTCAGGGAAATATGAGATGATGACTCTAGCTCGGAACACTTCTGCCGCTGAAATCTCCCCCCTTTTAGGAGGCCACGAAGGACGAACTTTCATAATCTCGGCCACCATTTATGTATACCCAGAAGCTTACGAAATGCGAAATAGACACGTCGACACCTCCGCAGGATTTAGCTCCATGCATCATTTAACCTTGATAACGAGTGAGGATAAGGTTACCCTTATTAAGGACCGAATCGAGGCCATTTATAGGGAAAAGTTTGCAGATAAATGTAGCCCAGGGAGCAAACTGTTGATCAGAGTGACCCCGATTGATGATGGAGTGCACCATGAGGCCCCCGCCCTCTCCATGGCTAGAGGGGATGAGGGACATCCCGACTATGCTAAAACGATCTGGGTTGAAGTACTCACCCCTGAAGGAGAAGAGCCCGAGTGTATGGGCCAAGTGCTAGATGGGATGAAGCACATGGTGGAGGATGAGTTTAAGGATGTAGCTCTTACTAGAGAGTTGGGGCGGGATTTTGAAAGGGCCAGCGCCACGTTTGACAAATATGATCCGTATGGGGTTTTTAATTTTGAAGATCTGTAAGAACTAAGGAGAATTTGATCCAAATAAATTTCGAAATATTTACTTGATAAGAATAATACTTGTAATAGAGATTTTCATCTCGATTGAATTTAACCATTTTATTTATTTATATTAATGTGTGGTGTTTCGGGCAATAAATAATAATGGTATGTAGGCCTTTATTTTATAAAAAAACGCTTTATTTATTATCGATAACTCAACTCGATATGAACATTTTAATATCTTGCACACTTCTGTACGATGTTTTAGAAGAAGTAAATTTTTTAATAAGGCGAATTTTCGGTAATCACTTCAAGAATTGACACTTCGATTTGGCCGAAACTTTACACATACACAGATGGTAAAAGTCAATATAACAAACGTTTCATGAAGCAGTTTGTGCGATGGTGGGAATTATGTAGTCAAAATATTTGAGGTCGAAGTCGAAGTTGAAGAATGAACGATTTTTACCCAAACGGAGGAAGCCAGCGCTACTCATATTCTCTTCCAATTGAGAAATCGTCATTTGTCAACTTTGATCTCACATATTTTTACTATTTCCCACCATGGCACAAACTGCCTCTAGAAACTGGTTATATTGACTTGGACCACCTAATTTTAAAATTTCACCCAAATCGGAGGGTTACACTTCACACCATCGCAAGCAGTTAATGAATCATTTCTTCCAATTATAAATTGTCACCTTTAAACATTCGTAACCAAGCATAATCCATGTAGCACTTAAGCCACACCCCCAAATAGAAAATATTCCGAAGAAGTTCCCCCTGAAATCCAGCGGCCTCCAGCCTTCTTTCATGGTTTCCGCTGCCTTGATGAATTTCTCGTGCGTTATACCCTTCACGACTTTATACCACTTCTCCACCAGCCCTGAGGTTAACAGAGCCCCAATCCGTTGTAGAACTTGGTCTGGCCCCCAATTATAGATTGCCCAACCCTTGGCAATCCTCGCAAAGGGTTTTACACTCTTACTAATTACTGCTGAACTTGGGAGTTTCGCCTTTAGTTCATAGAATGTTAGGTCAATATCATCAGACCATGAGGCCAAAGCAATTTTGTCGTCGCCATTCGAGATCAGCGAAGAAAAAGCCTGCTTCCCGTGGACGACGTTAGTGTAGCCTGCAGGAATGCTGGAGGTGTTGACGAGTTTCTGTAGAGTTTGATACTGTCTGGCATTGGGATTTTCGATGGCATTATTACTCTTCAAGATGAAGAATTGAGGTAGATCACTGAAAGATACTTCTCATAGTCGATATAATAGAAGGATGACATGTTCGGGTGATTTTTGCTGTTCATGACGTCCACATAAACGGATATGTCGTAGGGTGTGGTTAAAAATGTGAAGCCCGAGTAGATAAGATCTTCAAACAAAGAAAACTTTGGAGGTTCAAGGGGCACCGTGAGAGTTTTGACGTATTCCCCTTTGTAGCAGTTGGACAAGACTATGGCTCCAAGAATCCAAACCGCGCATAAAATGTAAGGGAATTTTAGATACATCGCAGAGTATTTCGTTGCATTTCGCGAGTACGCATTGCTCTGTTCCATTAAAGTTCCGTAGGCCAGATGTATTACGTTGTTTACAAAAACTGCTGATTTAAGAGAATACAAGTTATGTTCCTCGTCGATCATTGGGAGGGACGAACCCAACGCGAATATTGCGCAAATAATTATCCCAAATATGATTAAAAGCGTCCACGTTGTATTATCCAAAGCACTGACCAATCTTCCGAAATTTGCCGACCAAAATGAACCCTTCTGAAAACACGTGACAAATTCTAGTCCCTCTTCCTTTATATTTAAGAAGTGAGATCCAAACAAATCCATGACAACGTGAGGGCCATTAGTCGTCGTTCCTAAGTTGAAGTCCCAAACTTTTAAGTAGTGTTGCACGTAGAAAACCCCTAACTTGCGGTCATCTAGCATTACGGGGCTTACCAGGAAACAATTCTTTTCTGAAGCTGTCATAGTGACATTATGGAGGGCCAGGCGGAAAAGGATGAAATCCAATTTGATCGTGGTGTCTGAGGGAAAAGATGTAAAGTAGGGCGCGGTAAACAAATGTTTTCCTTTTCTTTCTATTGCCGATGAAATTTCGTCGTTGTATGTAGAAATCTGATCTAATCTTGTACCCATATTCGCTACCCGCCACATCCTAGAGAAGACCGGAGCAGTAAGTGAATCGAAGACAGATGTCAGTTTGCTAATTGCAATGGCAGAATTGATATTTTCAAATGTCTCATAATCATATCTAACATATTTTATGCTGCACGGGATACAAACCTCGCAAACTAAATAAATTTCGGATAAAGTTTCATTAAACAGCATCACCATTAAGTTGCTGGGCGCTTGGACGTAGTAGCGTTTAGCAAAGAAGCTGGATTTTAGCCATCGTGTCCAGTCATTCTTTTCAGTTATCAGTGTAGTTATAAGGATACGATATAAATAATTGGCGGAGATCTGGTACCCCGTCCTCTGGTCGAAGTCAAGATTTCCCGTTTGTAGTTTTCTCTCTGTTAAGAATTCCACTAAGGATTCAAGCTGGTAGCCAAAATCGATGCGTCCTTTGTCTATCGGGGGGTGAAGATGGAATTCCACGAAGCAGTAGAGATTCTTCTGAATTTTCAAGTGATTTGTGTTGAAGGTCCGGAGGTAATAGGTGTGGGAAAACCTGTCTGGGCCATAGATTGCTAAAACATTTTCATTTGGAAGTCTTGGACCGCGGGGGAAAATTCTTAGTGTGGGGACGGAGAGCGAGCTGACGTTAGTGCCCAAGAAGTCGATTAGTATTATAAGGCATGGATGGAAACTTTCAATGATTTCAGGAAGTGTATTTCGATCACCGTTTGAGGGGTCAAATAGTTTTAAGAGTGTGAAAAACAGAATATTTCTGCATTTAGGTAACATTGTTTTAACTTTAGTGACTTGGACAGAAAAATTTAACACATATTTAGCAGTTCAGACTCCAATTTAGTTAAAAGCTTGACATGGATAATCTACAAGTTGGGCGTTAAATTCATTATGGTCAGACGTATTCAATCAATAAACTTGCGATAGTAGAGATGGCAAAGTAAATATTTGAAGTCTTCAAGTGCAGTTATTTAGTGCATTTGTCAATTTATTTAGTTGACTTGCTCCTCTGGTTGTTGCAAGGGAAGAGTACTCCCCCATCTTTACTGACTATTGTTAAATCGATTTTTATGCTAACATTGAGATTAACGCAGATGCAAGGTATTCCTACCCAACGTTTTATTGGGTTGGTTTTGTTTTAATGGGTTGTTACTGAATAAAATCCATTGGGTTTTACAATGATAAATGGGATATATTTGTTAATGGGTTTTGTTAGGATTTTAATGCTTTTTAGCTCGGTTATATTTTTAAAGCACATATATTCAAAAAGTTTAAAATATCTCTAATACGTTAGACGAATTGGTTTGACGGCAGCTAAGAAGTTTATGTTAAAGCATAAATCGGAGCGTCAAGATCAAAGTAGATAAGCTCCAATGTATGCAACTTTACATTAATATTGTAATTTGGGCCAGTTGCTACTGAGATTTTGAGGCGAGAAGCATCCGCACTCCTCATTTGTTTGAAGGTTGTACCACTGGAAATCAAGGAGAAAATATATAAGTTTCAAATTTAGTGTATTAAACCGTTTACCTTAATTTTTTGCCATTTAGAAGCAAATACGAAGTTTGAACTGTACTCACTAGGAACACTAGGGAAGTGTGACCCCGACCTAGCAATGCCACTATATGCATTCGCTGCATTTTTCAATTGTAGTCCGACGATGTAACAAAATTTCCGTGTAAAACTGACATTTGGTCACGCTGTGACCATATTGGTGACGGGCGGGAGGCAGCCGCCGCTTTACTGCTGGTGGGACGGTGGGGTGTGGTTGACGATGCGCTCACTCATGCAAAATCATGGACCATTGTCACGCCTTCGTGTTGTCAGTGAGATATAATGAGAAATAGTGAGACATGAGAAATATGAGATATAGTGAGATTTGTGAGCCATGCACTAGCGCATGGCTCACAGGGTCATGAACTACAAGTTTAGCTCATTATTTCTCATACTTCTCACTCAGCCCCAACTGAGATAATTGATATAAATCATTAAATCTCGCTAAATCTCACTAGGTGATATATACCACTTGCAACCCTGAATATGGGTTGTTGCCATACAATGTATATGTCACTTATATGTTACTTATACATGTCACACATGATAAAGACTGTGAAGAAAAACAATGAAAATTATGAAGAGATTAAAAAGAAAATTAATTGTAACCCAACCACGACCAAGGCGTACGTTCATTTTTGAAGTATAAAATTATTTTACAAAATTTTCACAAAAATTTGTCCGCAAAAAATACTTATAAAACAACTTTTTATGCATACCTCTCAAAATGGCAAAACATCCTCTTAATTTTCCCCGATGTGATAATCCTAAGATTAGCGCATTTTCTTTCAATCAGAACAAATTTAAAACTGCCTATATTCCATTTTCTCGATATTATTAGAAATTTTTAAGTTTATGCAAATCAGTGTAGTTACATTTATCACTATGCATGTGAATTTAGATAACTACATTAGGATTAGAACTATATATTAAGTAAATATATAAGTAATAGCTACCTATGTGCCAATTAATTTTTTGGACGTGGTAGATGGAAATAAGCTGTTAGAGCGACTCAAACAGAGGCAAAAACTAACGATCCTACATAAAAAATGTGCATGATATTGATTTTCGCATGCATGATTCACTTTTTTCCATTTATTAACGATTGTGTGAATAAGTACTTGAAAAGTACATTTTTTAAGACTTTGGAACCATCAGAGATGTATCATAAATTCACTTCAATGTTAGTTACGTATGGTTTTGCAGACAAATATCGTCGTTGAAGAGACAAATTGAGACAAATGAGTTTGACTGCATCCAAATATCGAATATTGTTTAAAATTCATTACTAGGTCTAAAAAGCTGTAGACATTTTTTTGCAAAATTTTGGTGACCAAATTTTACCGTCCAGTCCAACTTGCTTGGAGGACGAACCAAGAGGATTAACATGCATTAAGCATGTACTATAAAAAATATATGGAAGCATACATATTGCTTATACATATCTATATACATACATATGTACACCTAAATGTACCAGTTATACATATGTAGATTTGGTATATTTACATATACGTATGCATAAAATAACATCAAGCAAAATTCGGTATGCATTAAGAATTCTGCCCAAATGTATCAGTTATACAGATAGAATTGCATGTATAAAGCACAAGTAGCGTCAAAAAAAAACTCCTCATATCATTAACAATTTGCCCGTCCCCGTATAATTGATGCGTTATTATTACCATACATACATAGGTACAAATAACGTCAAACTTATCCGTAAATACGTAGTACAAACATGTTTCCAACATTAACTACTGTTACGTAAGACTTTAAACGTTTTCAATTCAGATAAATCAATACCACATGGATAAGAGTATATAAAATGTTTATGTATTGAGGCTCTCATTATCAAGTGCATGGTTGCATTACATAATACGTATGCATTCACCTGTTACTCTGGAACAGGTATACATCATTCAGCAGCCGGTGATTTCATATAAAAACAGACACAACTTTACTCATCATTCATTAGAAAAGTGCAACTAACACACTGGCAGCACGCCGGCGCAATAAATTCGTTACAATTCTTTGTAATTGTGTTTATTACTTCCAAAAGGTTAAGGTAGATAATCCTAAAATCTTGCATTCAGGTAAATCAGAAAAGTACATAAAATTTTAAAACCACGAATATAATAATACATAACAGCATTCTCACGATTTTGCGACTAAATAGCTAAGCAATTATATTCTGAAAATTTTCAGTTTCATTTGCCAAAAATGAGCCTAGATGAAGGTCAACCATACGTTGCTAATCTTTCTTCTCCGGAGGAAGTAATAACAACCAACCTTATCAAAAAGATACTCCACGGCCACGATCCAGACGCCAAACTCGTCTCATACTCTGCCAAGTTGGGCAACAAGACGGGTGACAATTTCATGTCGGTTATCTACAGTGCTGACATCCTCTTCACAAATTCTTCCTCATCCGAGGAGAAACTTAAGGTCATGGTTAAAACCATGCCGAGGAATGAGTTCCGAGTCGAAGAGCTCAATAAAGTCGCCGCCTTCGCCAAAGAGGTCAAAATGTACGCCCACGTCCTCCCAGAAATGGTACGGTTCCAGAAGGAGAACAAAATTAAGGATGGCGAAATAATGGCGGATTGGCCGGCATGTTTGGCGTCATTTTCTAACGGAGGAGTCGATGATTTCGTAGCAATGGGAAACTTACGGGGAAAAGGGTAAATATAAATCGGTACAAATTTAGGATGGCTTTTTATGCAAATTTTTATTAATCATTTGCCAATATAGCTACAAAATGGAGGATCGAATCAGAGAATCACCCACATTTCCAAAATTTTATAGAAGAGTATAAAAACTGCAAATTTTACGGAGTCATGCTCGGTTTGCTAACGGCACCGATGATGTGCACGGAAAGTGAAGATCTTGCAGACTTGGAGGGTGAGCAATATATTTAAAATGTGGAAATTCACACACTTTTTTGGGTAAATAAGTTAAAAATGTTGTCCTTAGACATGGAGGGCTTTGGGGAGGATGCCGCAACCAGAATGTTTGAGGCAAGAACCAAATCAAGTAAAGATAGCCAGTTAATATCTACCAACAAAATTTGCAATCTTGCCGTTAATCATTTACCTCATTGCCCACAAGTGATTAGAAAAATGAGTGAAATTAAAAAAGTTTGACGTTTTAAAAAATGGGCAATAAATTAATTTGCGCAAAATTTGTATCCAGTTCTTTAAGGACGTCTGTATTGTCCAAAACCTGATTATTTGCAAAATACATCAACATTTCTTTATCAAGTCATACATATATAAATTGTGTAATTACTAACGATAAGCTCTTAGAAACGTGCAACGTTAAGTAAATATTTATCCCACTTCTCCATAATAAAGTTAGCGTACATTGCATACATACGCATATGTATAACTATGATTGCCAATTACCTAAAATTAAGCACATTTCAACTTTTGAGCAGGTCAATTTTACAACTTTAACAAGTTTTCTAAAATTTACACAAATTTTCTAAACATTAGATTGATGATGGATCCAAAATAAGTGTATGTGGTATGCAATTTCATATAAAATATAAAACTACACATTAAAATGTCATCATCTTTGCGAGTAAAAGTAAACAAGTTTTTGTCAACGCTACCATTTAGCAATAAATTATTAAGGCAGATCCAACGATTTTTCTCTAAAAACTAAACATTTTCAGAAACTCAACTAGTCTTAGCTATCTATTTCTAATAATTCTACTTTTACCATAAAAATATTTTTTGCAACGTTCCCCTAAATCTTTCCCCATAAGCTCAAATAACTGCATAACCAGTCCCATTAATCGAGCACCATTATCTTGTTGCAACTCTTTTCATGCCGCTGACGTGTAAACTTGAGTGCAAATCTTTTTCCACATTTGGCGCAGGGAAATTGTTGATTAGCAAGCGACGACCATCCAATTACCGGGCCCTGTTTCACCTTATGCTTGGCCTCGTGCCTGTCAAAAAACCAGGACAAGTACAATTAAATATGTATTCTTACATTTTCTCCATAATTATGTATAATAAAACAATCATCCTCTTACCTTTCCAACTCTGTCTCGCTGCACTGATAAAACAGCTTTTTGCACCCAGTAAACCCACAAGATTTGAACTTCACTCCAAGTTTTGTTATCTTTTCATTCTCCGGTGACATGTTGCACACCGTGACTTCATGAATCGCACAAATTCTTCGTGTCGAGAACATCTTGCCGCATATCGTGCGGGACGGCGCCATAACTTTAATTGTTAATTGTTAATCACTTAATTCGTGGTCTATTTTCGTATAAAAATTAAGTCTTTTTAAAGCCGCCACTATTCTTCCACTTATGCATGCATTATTTATTTACTAATCTTAAATGCACTTTAGGAACTAATTTGTTCTTGCACACATCCAGTAGGTTTAGTATATTTCAGATAAATGACTATTAATTTGCATCACTTTTTGGTGTCAGATTAATTATTTGTTTTTTAGTTCAAGGGCCAGGAAAGAAAAACGTGCACCTGATTCAAATACCCACGACTAATATAAGAACCCAGTAAAGTCAAACTACAAAAAGCACCTTTCACGTCGCAACTTTATGCATGCGGCATGCACGTTGTGTTTTAGAAAACTTGTAATATTCAATATATTGTAGAGAAAATGTGATATTTCTGTTGGTAAAATTAAGCCGAGTATTAACAACAGATTGGAAAGGGTGGTTAGGTTGCGCAGATGCTCATATGTATGTATGTACATACAATGTATTGATGGTATAGTTGGGCAAAATGTTAACTCCGGAAAAGTGGTTATACAGATATAATAACTATATGTACAATGTATTTACACAACCTTGAATCGAGGGTTAAAACCAGATACATAATATACAAATAAATTCATGCATACATACATTGCTTTCTGAGGAAAAATCTATACATCCATGGAAAAGAATGCATACATTTTTGCACAATTATTTTTGTCTGTCGATTGTATATGCATGCATATTTAGCATGTTCGTACATTATGCGGGTAAGTACATATTTATAATACATTGTACAAATGCAACAATTTTGAAGGGAGGAATTATCTGCAAGTGATACATCTAATCACTTGCATGCATACATACATATTTAAGTATGTAAATACTATTTATAAACGACTACAAGTAAAATACCATGTCAAATTACTTGGAGATCTTTTAACAATTTCGAATTTGCCCTCTTATGTGTAAGATGGTATAAAATAAATGTGTGATATTTAATTAGAACATTATGATCAACAGCATTCACGTGAACTGAGCCATAACTGAACCTAATCGAAATAAATTACCATTTTCTTATGAATCGAATCGAGCTACCAAGTTCACACAGACGGAGAAGAAAGTCAAATAAAAATCATCAGAACAGTAAAATAAAACCAATATGTACAAGAGTCTAACAAAGAAACAGAGTCTCAATATGCCTCATTTTGCCTCCAGTTGGATTGCTGGTCTTCCAGAAAGTGAAGTTACAACCAACTTGGCTCTCTTAAGATAGGGGTAGCTTATCAAAATGGGTCTTATCACAGTCAAACTTCCCAGACATGCACTTCTCATGTGGACGCATACATATCATTGTCGTATAATTTGACGTCATGAAAAAATCACATGTCTTTGTCCACCTCCATAATTATTACTTCGAAGTCAAGTGTTCAAAAACATAATTGATTGTGAATTAGATATTAATTGGTTTCGAGAGGTCAAGTCATCTGCCAGAATAAAATACTATTTTCCTCTGGAATTTCACTACGTATTGATTTTTACGCACCAACATTTTATTCAGCGTACATAATTATATGCAAAAATGAGATATGTACATACATGTGTAAAACAAGTCTCGAGTAAATCACAGATTAAATGATACACATGTACATAAATAAGATGAGGTGTAAATCAGAACCCACTTGAAATGCCGGTGCTCACAAATCTGCCATGGGATAACCTCACTCAAAATTAGCATAGAACATATTGCATAAGGTTATGTCACTTTAAAATCGTTGCACGTCAATGCACTCAAATGACGCAGAAGACCACACAGTTAATTTTACTCGCTGACGCTGAATTCAAGAAAAAACAACAACCTGATTCATCCAGCAATTATTTGCTAATTGAAAATTCGTGTTGCGAATTATGTTCGAGATCACTGAATTAATTTGATCTGTCAAAATTAGGATTAATCCTCAATCACATGTGGTATCGAACGGGTCGCTCTCAACGAAGGTCGCCATTTTGAAAATCACTTTCATATTTTTTGCCAATATGATCATTTTACTAATTTGTAATTTTTCTTACATTAATTTATTAAATGTGATTTTAAACATTTATCAAACAAAGTTGTTAAGTTACGTTTTAACCTCCTAGTTACCAGTTAATTCTCGGGAATATTCAGTTGCGTACCAATTACACACATTTGTGTAACGATTTTTTATCACTTGACTACCAATCCATTTTTCGGAATATTACTTTGCCTACCAATTACACATATTTGTGTAGCAAAATATTTCCATTAGCTACCAATTACACAAGAGATCGTTTTCCATTGCGTACCAGTTACACAAATATGTGTAATTATATCAGGGATTTTAAAAATTCTGGTAGCCCACGGAAATCTATCAAGTTGTAAAATGCGGGACAACGTAAAATTTCCAAAAATACTTTGGTAGCTAAGAGAAATAATTTTGCTACACAAATGTGTGTAATTGGTATACCAATTACACACATTTGTAGGCAAAGTAATATTTCGAAAAATGGATTGGTAGTCAAGTGATAAAAAATCGTTACATAAATGTGTGTAATTGGTAGCCAAGAGGTTAAATTGTAAAGTTATGTACAAACCATCTAGCAAAATCAACAAAGTAGAATCGAGTTGGTTTTTTAATTGTTAGTCTTTTATCTTCATGTTTGCTAATTTCAATGCTGACAGCCGTATGTTTTTTGTAATTTACCACAAAAAATGATTCTTAATCCGAAACTTCCCAGATAACAGGTCGCTATGAATTCGCTTAGAGAATTCGCAGAGAATGTCGCGTTAAAACAGAGAACTCGAATTCTCTCAGATTTTGTTATTATTCTCGTATCGAATTCGCATCGAATTCGGTAATTATTCGTACCTAAATTCGATATTACGCTCATTTCAGAATTCGTAACGAATTAGACTCGAATTCTCAGAGAATTCTTCTATCGAATTCGAAACGACTTCACTATGAATTCTTAAACGAATTCGCTGTTATTGTAGTTAGGAATTCTCCCCGATTTCGATAGGAATTCTTCTTACAGGAATAGGAGACTACATACTGTTCGCCTTAAATCTCGAATTCGTAAATAATCCTTAGAGAATTCACTGTGATTTCTCTCTTTCACGCTGTTATTATATTTTTAAGTAATTTTAGCTGCCACATTCAAATCTTTCCTCATGGGAAGGAGACGACTTTTTCAGTTGAGTGCTCGCCAAAAAAGAAGACTTGTAAAAAGACGAAGTGAAATTTTTGAGGAAAATTTAAATAGTGACCTAGTCCAGGCCGAAGGGGAAAACATTTATTTAGAACAAGTGTTCGAAGAACATCTGGAAGAAATTGAAGTCGGAAGTAACACGAGTGAAGGAAGTTCAACTGAAACAATTAGCTCAGAAAGCGAAGGTGAAATTGATACTTTCGATATTACATATAGTATCCAAAATTGGTCCCTTGAATTTAAAATTCCTCATAATGCAATCTCATTATGCAACACTCTAAAACATTTTAAAAATATGTTAATCTCAGATGCGGTAGCAGCTCACCCTAGGACTCCAAATTTTCCAGACGAGGGCACAGTTGACGAAGAAATACAAAAATCTCTTAAGAACGTCGCAGATAGAGTTGGGAAGCGTATGAGGTACAAATATATACAATCGATAATAACTGTTGGAAAAGATTTTAGAAATAACATTAGTATATTTTCAATAGGAAGTGACTTAACATCGCGGCCAATTTCACTACCAGGGTCATCTGATTATTCAACTTATGTTTATTTTAATGTAAACAGTTATGTATATTACATGATATTTAGAATAAATAAAATAAACTATAAGCTGGATTAACTCGAAATATAGGAGAAATCGTATCGATTTATTACTTAATTCGCAGTGAATTCGTATAGAAGTCGCATTAAATTCGTGGAGAAGTCGCATTGAATTCGTTTAGAAATCGTTATGAACTCCTACATATTCATCGAATTCAAGACGAAATCGCGAAGACTTACCGGCGAAATCGATATACGATTCTCCATCGATTCTCTGTCGAATCGGCGGACATTTCCCTTCGATATCTCCTCGAGTTTATCTCGAAAGTTGGAAATTCGAGGCGAATTCGATATCGATATCAAAGCGAATGTAATATCGAAACATAAGAGAATTCAGAGCGAATTGTTATCTGGGTTGTGATATCAAAATCTAGTCCGTCATCCTTAATTAATTTGTAGCTTAATGTCTGGCTGGATTTTCATTCACCATCAATTAAATTGGCAACTGGTAATTGCTACTTAATTGTTATTTGACTAATGTAAATAAAAATAGGTACTTATGTACATAGGTCCTGCAAATCTAACAAAAAGTAAGTGTTACCTTCAGTTTGAACATATTTAGTATTGAATTCTAATTGTGTTTTTGATTGGTAGCTCAAAAATTATATTTTTTGACTCAACGTGCTTAAGTTACTAAACAGATAAATATATATAGTCGACTATTTATTCACGTAAATTGTAGATTATGAACACATATATTTAAAAATATATACTAGTGTTCATGAACCCATGGTTGAAAGGTAGTAAATGCTGTAAGTATTTATGATCACGTATTTCTACATATTTTCAATTCACTAGCTAGCAAAAATACGAAAGACTCAAAATACGTTCATACAAACGTGCGTACATACTTTTTTAACACTTTAGGTATAATTTGGTGACCTTTTTTGTGCTGACAAAAAAGCTGATCTAGACGAGGTCCCGTGTGAATTATTTTTATGGGAACATTTGCACAACATCTTGTGATAATTTTTACTCAAGGTTTCAAAGAATTAAGGTCTGTATTCGACCATTTCGGCCTTCAGCTCTCAAGAGTAAATATTGTTTTCCAATTTTTTTTCTAAAAAATTCTCATGTTTGAAATTTCTAAATGTGTATTTTTAACTCGACATTTGACATTGAGGGGCGGCATGAGACTTATTTGTAATTCATATAATTGTAATTCTATTTTGATTAATTCGCATAATTATTCGGTTGGACATGTGCAACCCTTCAGCCTTCTGCAGAAAATCTTCTTTGTTTAGATCGAATTCGTAAAACTCATGGAATAGTGATTTTACTACATATAGTTGGTCATGTTCGAAGATGATTTTAAGAAAAAATTATTATATTCAAACTTTCACTCACAAATACGGTTGTATCCCGTAAAAGTGGGTTGATAAATTCCGAAAAAGTACTTTAGCTTATGTTGTAGCTAAAATAAGGCATACTTCTTCATAAGAAATGTTTTCAAAATCGGGTTTTGTTTTAATCTATACATCATTTGTATGTATGAATCTACTTAGCTTTCACCAATAATTACTGAAGCCTGGCAGTGTTGGTCGGCTAGCGATTTGGGCCTGGATTTCTCAGTATCACAAAAATATTCAGGCTACTTCGATCTGATGCATCTAATCGAATGCATGAATATTAAATTTTCTAAATACCACAATGATAAGCCAGATGTTAGGTTCGGGTGAAATTGTGGTGCTGGCAGACTATTATTTGCTTAAAATGGGAGTTAATACTTAGCTCAAGCTGCCATTCAAAAATTAAGAAGAAAATTTATTTACGGGTAAATATATTTACTTGCATTACATATAGTGAATTATGCCCCATTTATATATATTTAAATGTGTATATCTCTGCTAAAATGTCATGGGTAAAACAACTTGGTAATTAAGACTTATTTACTTAAGTACAGAACGGTAGCCATATATCAGCCACAAATTAATCCGTAATCAATAAATGCAAACGCTTAATCAAACTTAATGTAATGGAGGAATAAAAATCTGAAGCCCTCAAATATTCCTCCGTTCGACACTTCACAAGGAGCAGGTTCCTGCACAATGCCAGCATCCGTCACAGTCGTTGTGGGACGAGCATCCGACATACTGCAAGTCCCACATGTTTCCCCGCGTCGTCCAGCACCACTGCTTGTGGTCGTCGGGCCGAATCCCGCACCACGCCCAGCACCGACCCTTGTGACACCCGTAGTCCTGACACCCGTACGCGTACTGCAAATTGTCTATGCTCCCGTAATCCGCTCGGCGTCTCGTCGTCTACAGATTTCCGGGGGCTGCCTCGTCTTCAGGAAAATCTGGACCGTCCTCCGTTGGGAACGAGGTACTGTTTTCGGCAAAAACGCAGAAAATGGCAACCCCCAAAATAAGTTTTGTAGCAGTCAACATCCTGGAAATTTGAAAAGTCAAACTCAATTAAATTTTTATACAGCTTAAAAGACCGAGCAGGAAATATACAAGAACTTACATGTTTCCACTATTTAGTCCCGGTAGTACAAAAAATGTAAAGTTTTAAGGTTGAATTGAGGAAGATTGTTTGAATGATGAAATTTTAGTGTTACAGGAGCGTTTAAATACCTATGAGTGGACACCCAGTTTTCGTAAGTAATTTCTTGGTAGAGGTTTGCTAAAAATAAAATGTGTGACGTGCTACAAGTTTATTTTCATCTACTTTCATCCATTTTTCTTCGTTACTTGTTGTTCCTATTCATTCCCATGTGTAAACATTTTGACATGCTCGTATTCATTACCAATCGTGCTATGCATTTCGTAAATATGAGCAGAGGAGAGTAAACAGTCCAAAGCATTCACATATGTAAATGATGTTTTTTTATAACTGGAGACTAATTCACTTTAATTGAGACCAAGTAAAAGTTGTACGGATTCACATTAACGCGTCCAATGATAAAGTGTCCACAGTGTCACTCTTTCGCTGGACAAGAAGAAGAAATTGCACTGATGAATCATCAGTGATGATGTTTGTTTTTCAGCAATACGCAATGATGGCAAACTTATGCATGCTGTATGGATATGTTACATTAAAATATGTACATATGTAAAATGTAACAAACTAATAACACTTCTATTCACATTTATTACCCATGTTTTTTTCCGTACTAAATTTGGCCCGATACTCCATTTACACAGCATATTTAGTCGCAATGTTGCTCGCTTTGCTCAAGTTCATTCATGCAGATTGTGTGACACGTTTTTATCTCAACACTTAAATAAAACGCACATTCCTGGCAAAACAGCGAATCTACTTGGAATTTATGAATCATATTTTGATCCTCAAATTTCGGACTAGACTCTTAATTAAATGACGTCGGACGATGCGGGTATTTATTGCCATAAGCAGCCGCAAATGGTCATCAGATTATTTCTACATACATCTCCTAAAAATTACTTCAACTACAAACCCAATTTTGAATATATAAATCTACATATAAATACATTTTTAAAAAATTCAGGTTTGCGCTTTGTCCAGTAATTGGTATATTTTATAGAATTTCTCCCAAATTCAAGTTTACTTTTTTTCAGGATGCTGAAAACTACCATTGTCGTTGTTGGGGTGGCGGTGCTTTTGTGCATAGTTCGAGACATCAATTCCCACCCATCGTTGAGTGTTCTTGACGCCGAGGGGGTCTTAGGAGAGGAGGAGCATGGAAACAGAACCAAGCGATCTATGAGCTGCACGAATTACGGGTGTCACAAGAACTCCTGCGGGACGAAACCGGAAGCTCATCGGGAATGGTGTTGGACGACGAGGGGAAGCACGTGGGATTTGCAGTACGTCAGATGCACTTCCGACGCCCAATGTGACGGGTGCTGGAGTTGTGCAGGACGTGTTCGTTGTAAGAATAGGAGCAATAACTTTTGTATCTTTTAGTCATTTAAATAAGCAAATATGCATGCATAGAAATAAATTCAAAGAATAAATATGTAGTACTTTAATTTGTTTACTTCTCTATCCTAAAAATGTGTTATCAATTTCCTCCAAAGACATACATTCCGGTATCGTGTTAGTGCCTCGTGCACTCTAAAAACATGCATAACTTCACGAGCAATATTTCCTGTCCATTCGTACCTGAGAATTACAAAGGGTAGTTACTTAATTAGAATATCAAATATGTAGTTCAAACCTTAAGAAACTTCGCTCAGGTTTTAAGTCCAGTCTAAATAATTTCAACGAGGAATAATGGAGGCACAATTTCCCAACCTTTTCCAGCCAGTGTTATATTCGTATGTACATACTTGATGCATAAATACGTCTTAATAAAGGTATGCTACACACATCCTCTTGTTATTACCTTGACCTGGAAGCATTTCCCAGAATTAATTCGACTACCTGCTCCATGAAGGACGTGTTTTTTGTCCAGTGTTAAAGGTATGTAAGTTGTGATGAATAATATGTGAATATGTAGTGAATACTACGCCTATGTAATGAATTACGAGGTCACGTACTGGATTAATGCATACTTATACATCGTGATATGCACCTACATGAATTATATGCATTACCCCGGAACCACCGTCGTTCCTTACTAGCTGTTATTGGTTCTCGGTTCGTGATCCTAAGTTGGAGCTCCGTGTGAGATGAAATAGGAAAGAGATATTCAAATAAATGCCAATGATACAAACGAAACGATTTTATGGTTTAAAGCTAACAGGAGAGATTCCGTAGAGCTCAGCACAATAATCTGTTTCAGGTATAAGCTACTCGGAAACTTGCATTTTGACGGCGGCGTGAGTTGTTTTAGCGTTTTTTCTGAAAATAATTACATGCGTGCATAAATTTGAAATTTGTAAAATTTGTATATAATCGTAATTTTACTTAATTGCAGTCACTGCACCGAGTACGATGATGGTAGTTTAATTCCTGCCGGTGCAATGTCCGTGCGGGCAGGGTCATTAAAGCACAGCTCAGGCGGACAAGTGTACAAAGTTGGGAAAGTAATTCGAAATCCGGGCTACAACAGGGAGGCGTCTTTTGACGGGGATATTGCCATACTGCAAGTAAGATTAGGCATAAAACACATAAAATAATTATTAAATAATAATTAGCTAACGAGTATTATCTTTGTCATTAAGCTCACTTCCACAATTTGGTTCGGGTTCGGTAAAACTTGGGCCAGTCTGAGTTACAAGGAGCCGGAAGCCGGGACCACCCACGTAGTCACCGGGTGGGGTAATACTTGCAGATTTTATGACACGGTTTAAGTATTATAGACTAAAATTGCTGAATGATTTCCTCATTACTTTTATAGGACGAACTTCTGAAAGTGGGAAGGATTCGGACGTTCTGCAATATGCCAATATTCCAATCGTTTCAAGGTCCGAGTGTCAAAAGGCGTACCCTGACGAGAAGATTACGGACAACATGATCTGCGGGGGTTATCCGGAGGGAGGCAAGGATTCATGCAAAGGTGACTCCGGGGGACCATTGACCCGACAGTGGAGTAATATACAGGCTGGAATTACTAGTTGGGGATATGGGTGTGCTAGGCCAGGTAAATAATTTTTAACTTTGCAGTCAATTTTCTAGGGTAATTAATTAAATTCAATTTACTACTTCAGGTCAACCTGGTGTGTAGGTACACCAACACGGCGAAATATGTCGACTGGGTGAAGAGTTACTGCTCAAAGTAAATTCCTGGTAAATACATAGCCAATTGAAATGTATGTAAATATGTAGGTATTGGCTAATTTTTTTCGTTCGTTGTATACGCATTAGGAAAATGGACGAATTTTAGACTAAAGTTTAGTCACTAAACTTGTGATTTTGTAAGCTTATATATTTCATAAGCCTAAAGTTATCTACGATGATCCAAATTTATGTGTTTCACATGATCAAGTGCATACATCACATGTGTACTGATTTTGGTAACAGAAATTTAATTTATGCAAGTGTTTTTACCAGTCTGGCAAAATCTTCCGGAATTTCCGAACCGGGTTCGGGGGAAGCTAGTTGAAAATAGTATCTTTCGGGGGAAGGCTGAGTCGCCGAAGGCGACGAAGCTTTCTGACATTTATTAGTTTAAAACTAAAAAAACATTCTAAAAAAAGTTAGTAAATTTATAGACTTATTTTTTTTAATTGACATAATTTCAAAACAAATATAATTTTCTTCCTGGAAAGATTAATTTTAATTTTTATACAGATTATCTTCCCCCAGAATATTTTGATTTCCTCCATCCAAGAAATTTTTTAATTTGATTGAAACATCTTCCCCAAACCATTTTTTATAGCATCATTCTCCCCAAACCAATTTTCTCGTTTTTTATAGCACTATCTTCCCCCAAGGAATTTTCTGATGTTTATAGCACTATCTTCCCCCAAGGAATTTTCTGATGTTTATAACATTATCTTCCCCCAAACAATTTTCTCGCTTTTTATAGCACTATCTTCCCCCAAGGAATTTTCTGATGTTTATAACATTATCTTCCCCTAAACAATTTTCTCGCTTTTTATAGCACTATCTTCCCCCAAGGAATTTTCTGATGTTTATAACATTATCTTCCCCCAAACAATTTTCTCGCTTTTTATAGCACTATCTTCCCCCAAGGAATTTTCTGATGTTTGTAACATTATCTTCCCCCAAACAATTTTCTCTCTTTTTATAGCACTATCTTCCCCCAAGAACTTTTTCAAATTAGATTTGAAGAGTGGGCATTGCCCATTTAAATTACCCACTGGGCAGCTTAAACGTGGTACAGTACCTAGTCGGAAACTGTTGGATTGAGATTGTTATTAAAACGGCTTAACGAATTTGAATGAAATTTTCCACACTAATTAACAACTACATACCTAGTAAATCTTGTGAAAGCACCAACTAATCTATTTCATTTGATTTGATAATAGTTATTCATGTATGGATTTGTAGTATATATTGAATTCTTCACAATACAAATTTTCACATACTAAAATTGAGTACATAGTTTGCAACCGTTCTCCGAGAGTTTCGCCTCTTTTGTTTCACGCAGTACCTCCACACATACGTTGGCGTTAGTCAAGAAAAATATTGACCTTGTGCGAATTCCTGTACAGGGCGGAAGACATGTTTTGTTTAAATATTCCAAATTTTACCTTTATCAAAGCTTAAGCTACCTAGGGAGGACTTTTGTTTTGTTTTTGATTCCAAGCTCTCCTGCGGGATGCTTTATACGTAATTAATGCCAAATTAGCTAAATACCAATTCATTTGGCATTCCCAGGGCTAAAACATGTCAATTTCTTGTGTCACGCAATCACGGGTTTTAATTTGGCGTCAATTTTCTGGAGAAAATGCATATATTTTCAGATTTGTTCTTCCGCAGTTTATAGCTCAAATTATCAGAAAAAATAAAATAAATAAGAAATAAGGTAGAGGACAAATCTCTATGCATGCGGAAGAAATCCACCGTGATTAAGCCAGCTAAGATTTCCTATAAGAAGATTTTTGGGGCGTGGTGGGCCACAGGACTTGAATTTATAATATCATTTAAATTTAAATATTAGTTTCCTAGGTGGCTTACTTACCTACATAGTAGTGCCATATGTTATGTACAATGCAAGATAAAATTGGTTGGAATAACTTTAGAGAGTTGTACTATTTTTATTGAAATCCCCATGCAATTGTTCATCAGAAAACATGTTTCGAAGTTTTATGCAACCCAATGCGGCAAAATGATAGCTCGGCAAAAACAACATTTTTAAAATTTTCAAAATTATACAAACCGTCGAAATCGGGGCGTCAAGCCAAACTCGTTTCTAGGGGAAGTTCTTATTCTGGTACCTCAAGATGTGGGGAGAAACACTTGTTAAATGCACGCCAAGTAAAACTAGACTCAAATGGAGCAGGACGCTTATCATGCGGCACGCACTTAGAAAATGGACACTGTTACTTTGAACAGCTGAGCAAACTTTTGTGATTGAGGTCAAATAAAATATCAAAACGACCGTATTCACACCTATGTAGTCCAGACTATTCATAAAATTGCAAAAACGTTAATTGGACCCACCTATTTCTTCTTTGCTTCGTTACTTCTGTGATTCTTTTATTGGACAAAAGTTGGATTTGGTCGAAAATGTGATTTATCTTACTGTGGGGGTCCAATCCCTTGCCGAAACTTATTTTTTAAATTTCTCGAGCGAATTGTGGAACCCCTAAACCTGTCCCGATTCAAAAACACCCACCAGACTTTCTAGGAGGGTTCAGGTCCTCCTGGTTCATGAGGCCAAAATAGTAAAGAGGTCGTTGAAATCCAAAATTCTTGACTCAATTTTATATAAAGAAAAAAATCACTGTCACTGAACCTCGACCTTTTGGACTATGTCGCATTTTCCAACCTGGAGCCAGATGCATCTCAGCATCTGCTAAACCTTGAAAATTTAGAGATTCGGAAAAAAAATTGTCGTCTAGAAATAGGACCAATATCTCCAGGATCGCGTGCGTACCGCGAATCAGGCGCGGATGCCAAGACTTCGGGCTATTATAGCTTCGAAAGGAGGAAATTTTAAAAACTAGTTAGTCTATTTTGAAGAGCATTTAATGGGCTTTCTCGTGATACCGTTATTTTTCAAAATTCAGAAAACTTAGCCGGGTATATTAATTTAAGTGGTCTACAAAACACATGGCACCACCAGGTATTAAAAATTAATCAAAGTCATTGAAATGTTATATTTTTAAGCGTAAAAAATCATGATTTGAATCACTATGAGGGAGCACGTACGCCGAGGGCCTTAGGCCCTCGGTAGCATCGGGGGGAAGCTTAATTTTGGTTCGGGGGAAGCTTGGAAGATTTTGCCACACTGGACTTTTTACAACGTGACGTGGACATTATTAAATGAACTAGAGTATAAGCCCGTCCAAGGACGGGTCCTAGAACGTATCTACATATATAAAACGCCTTTGTTGTCGGCCAATTTGTTATAAGTAATATTTGCAGAAGCGTTCGCAGGATATCATATCCTCCCAGGGCAGGGGACGTGGACCCCCTTCTGCATGCTGCCCCACTGGCTTCCTAAATTTTATTAAGAAAGCACGGACGGTACATTTGTCTGAGCCACCGCTAGCTCAAATTAACTCCAATTAAGGACTATCCGGTTCTAATTGGTTAGAAAATATTTCTTTGTAAACCACATTTTTGGTAAACATTCTGTCCGAGCCCTCAATTAATTTACCTTGTTCTGGGCCGTCTATTATCTTAATTTTTGCATCTGCAAAGCGTCTCACTCTGGATAAGGCAACATATAATTGGCCATGGCTAAAAACTGGTTCAGGGAGATATACTCCAACTTTGTCTAACGTTTGCCCTTGAGACTTATTAATTGTCATTGCAAATGCTAATTTAATTGGGAACTGTCGTCTTCGTAAGACAAATGGATAATCTTGATTTGTAGTTGCCAAATCAATTCTTGGAATGAATACAATTTGTTGCTGTGCAGACCCTGTAAGCACTTTTGCAATTATTAAATTTGGCTTCAAGTCTTCAACGATTAGACGGGTGCCATTACATAGTCCTCGTTTCGTATTTAAGTTTCTAAGGAGCATAACATTGCTACCTTTTTTAAGATTTAACTTATGCACTGGCATTCCAGATGGCGTTAAACCATTTAGGAATTCAACTGGATAAAATTCTCTATCCTGTGGATTTTCATCATCAACTGAATCAGTGCTTAAATAAGTTACTGAATTTCCTTGAAGAATGTTTAAAATTTCTTCATTTATTTTGTCAACGTCCGTGTTTTTTGGACACAAAATTGCCATTTTTGAAAAATTGGCAATGTTGTCAACGGTAAGGCTATCTCCGTATATTTCAGAGATTATTGAATCTCGACAAATTAGTTGTTCTGGGATTTCGATTGAGTTGGAAGTGGTGGTGGGGTCCTGAATGAGGAAATTGTGGTGGTTGGAGTTTGTCGTAAATTGTAAGTAGTTTTCAAAAATTGAAATTGAGGAGGAAATAAAGTCGCGTGTAGTCGGTCTGCTTGTCAGATCCGACAAATGAGCAATGTTTTGAAAGTTTCGCGAATAAACTCAGGTAATTGTATTTTGTCCTGGGAGAGGGAGCTGAAGAGCCCATTTCCCCATTTCGGGCCCGTTTCACCCGTCCGAGCAAAGGAGGAAGGCAGTTTGAATGATTCGTGCACGTGGCTCAACCAGCTCATGAATTTCGTCAATCAATTACTAAATTCTACAATGTATTCGTTCGGAGGAAGCAGAGGCTGGCGGGGTGGTGGAAGAGGCAGGGGAACCGGTGGTGGGGGCCAATATGATGGAAGGGTGATGGTCATCAATCACAAATCAGGGCCCAAGGGGAATGATGAGGTCGAAGGCGAATCCGAACGAACTACTGCGGGTGGGAATTGATGATCGGACCAACTCGTGAATATTTATGAAGATGACTTTGTTATTATTTACTGAGAATAATAAATATCCGAGTTACAAAACTATTTGGCTCCAGTGGGAAATATTTTACATGTTTCAAAACTTTTATTGATATTTTATTTATTTTATTATTCATACCATTACAAACAGCTTCAAAAGATTTCTTTAAGTAAACAAATATGTAGAACAGAAATTATAATATGGCCCAAAGGGGGAACTAAACCAATTTCAGTTGGTCTGTTAGACATTTGGTTACCTCTTCGGCCAAAACTTTCCATTCTTCAAATCCTCGTCCAGTTTGTTTATCTGGATGGAAGATGATGAGTGCCTTCCGAACAAAGCCTTTGACGTTCCGGTAGTTGACACCAACAATTTCCAGGTTCCATTGGGCCCGTTTGTGAAAATTAGGGGATCCAAGAAACCGAATGAAAGCGACCGGATCTCCTCTGAAACGAATAACATAAGAGTAAATTTACTGTTGAATATAGAATTGTCAATTGTACTCGGGCAAACTGAAATACATACTTTTTGTGGACTCCACGCATTTCTTGAACTATACTTCTTGAACAATTTCAATCAAAGCAGGCACCCTTGGTGGTGAGGTTTCTGGGCGAGGTGGGGGTGGAGGTGGCAGACGCTGCGGCAACAGTCTCATTCCCTGTCGGGCCCGTTCAAGGGAGATTAAGGTTCCGTCGTCTGGAACATTCTGGCGGCGCAACTCATCAACCTGCGGAATAAAATTATTACGATCAGATTTATTTCACATGAGTATTTCTCACTTAGCAATCATGATACACTCACGATAAATATGAGATCATGGACCACCTCTCCCAGTTGTTCTCCCCGACGGGCCCATCGATAGAGCAGATTGGCGGGAAGTTTCTCGGTCCTAGGATGATTGAGCTGCCGAATTGCTTCCCTAAATCGGAAGTTGGGAAATTTCCGTCGGCGAGCATTCTGCACCCTGTGGAATAGGTCTGCTTTTTCCTTAACGGTTAACTCCAAATCCCGAATTAACCGAAGGAAGAAATCCACAATACCGTTGCGAATCCCATTGTTGTGGGCCACCAAACCACCTAGCCATGCCACGATAGCTGGTTGAAAACAATATTCAATTGAAACAACTGCATGGAAAGACAAAAATGATACATTTGTTCGTACCATGATTTGGGGAGAAAGGTTCCGAATTTGGGGTAGAGGGCCCATCAGGGAACGCGGTCCATTTTCGGATTGAGCAATGTTGGCGATGACACCATATTCTCCTTCCGTCCCATTCGCTTGTTCCAACAATCGAGTTATCCACGATTGGATCCTTTGGGATTTACTTCCAGTGAGCCCAAAATGCATGAATCCCATTAGTTCGGTCTGCAATATGAAGTCAGTAAGTAAAGTGAGAAACCTATCCAAAATTTTTTTAAAAAAAAGCAAATAAAAAAGAGCAAGAACACAAAATTACAAAAACACAAACAATTTGATTACAAACTTACATAGTGGGATTTATTTATTCCGTAACGTGACATGTTCACCGGCTTCAAAAACAGAAGGGCCCTGAAGGGATATATTTAATTGTTTTCTAACTTGGGTCAACTATTGTTGTTGGTGAGTGAGTTGTTGGTGGCAGTCAGAATCAGGTGGAAGTGGAGTAGTGGTGGTGGTGGTGGTGGAAATGGAGCAGTGGTGGTGCGTTGTGGATGGTTTTGACGGAGTAGTTAGGTATGGCTGTGAGGAGAGGGCATGCTGGGTGTTAAAAATCTATAGGGCTTCATCACCCAGCCAGCTAGGCACGAAGGCAGGCGGGCAGCCAGCCAGTGACGCTGACGCTTTATATAAGAGATGTGTAATTTATATTGAGTACAACATCAAATGCAATATGCATAATTAAATATTTTAGTACTTTTCTCATACATATGTACATGTAAACCTAACAACTAACAGTACTCAATTTAAGCGTTTAAAACATCAATTTATACTGTACTCATTGTACAGTATAAATTGTACAGTACCAAGTTGTAACTTGGTACTCATGCATATTTATAATTGATGTGAATTTGTACTGAAGGAATTTTGATGCATATTTATTTTAAAATAGATAATTCTTCAATGTGGCAGAATAGAAATATGTCAGTCTGAAATTAGTTGGTAAATTGGAGAAATGAAACTTGGGACAAATCAGATAATATTTTGGGCAGATAAGCCATCTTTCATGACAAGAGATCCATTCAATTCATGCCTTGTTACATATGCAGCGTCTTATCTAATATATTCCATTCATTGCGTATGTTTTTGTTCACATTTCCTGTCTTTGTCTGAATAAAAATACCATTTATGCATTTACGTTTCATCTAATTAAATATGAAAATGAGCCATTTCCTGTGTAAAACACAGTATTTTGAGCTCCCTTCTTCCTAAGGGTTAGATTTCCAAGGGTGTTACGCCCACAAAAAGACGAAAATCTGCATGCAGAAGGCAGAAGTCACACAAAAATAAAAGTCTTCTTCTTTTCTTCACAAAAGTTTTGTGAAGAAACTAATATTTTATCTTTGTCAAGATACATTGTTCGCACGATTTTTATAAATAAAGTATTTTGACCGAGATAAGTAGTTAATTTCTCCAGAAAACATGTATCTTCGTGTGACTGTTGTCTTCGGCATGCAAATTCTAGTCTCTCAGCCCTGGAAATTCAAACCCTGGGAAGAACATTATGTATTTTACCCACGTCCGCATTTCTGATCGTGAATTTACTCCGAAAAACTAACTGACGACGATGTTGATAAGCACACAATATTATAAAAACATGACGCTTATGTACATAACATATTTATCGTGCAAATATTCATAGAATAAGCCGTAAATTGGAGAGATGAAAGGACAGACGAAGCATGTGATAACGAATTCTTAGCCAGTATTAGAGACAAGAAATGCGGATGCCCAATTCAAGCGATGAATACGACTTATCAGTCTTATTATTATCTGATAAATTCGAGTCATTGGTTTAGGCTCACATTTCCATGTTCTGCGTCTCAAACCAATGGTAAGATTGTCATCTCTGTTGTATGTGCATAAGCAGAAGGCAGAAGTTACACGAAAATACAGTTTTTTTTAGAAATGAACTTTTTATCGCGGTCAAAATACATTGTTCTCACGATTTTTAAATAAAGTATTTGACATAGATAAAAAAAAGTGAATTTCTTCAAAACACGTGTATTTTCGTGTGACTATTTCTGCTTTCTTCATGAAAATGCTCATCTTTTTGTGGGTGTAATAATCCTGGAAATCCAAACCTTGGGAAAACTAAACTCAAAATACTGCATCTTGACCATGTCGGCAGTTCTAATGGTACATTTAGGATTAGTCCGAAAAACTAAAACTGACGACGGAGTTGACAAGCACACAAAGTTATAAAAACATGACTCTGATGCATTTATTATGTAAATATTTCTAGCATGGGGAGTAAATTGGAGAGATGAAAGGACAGACGAATCATGCGATAACAAATTCTTAGCCAGCATTTCAGACGAGAAATGCGGATGCACGATTTAAGTGATGAATACAACTTATCAGTATTGTTGTTACCTGATAAATTCAATTCATTGCATTGGTTTATGCCACATTTCCATGTTCTGCGTCTCAACTTCATGATAAGATTGTCATCTCTAATGTTCACATGCTTGCTTACACACATATTTAGGGTAGCATTTTGTATCATGGTCATTTATTCTTCTTGTTCGGGAATCCAATCCAACTTCCCGTCAACATTGTTCCTCCGAATGGATGAAAATTGTCTCCATAATAAAAGGACGCTAAAGGATGAAACGACGTCTCAACTTTTTCAGCGAGTCAGTCTAATTCTGGACGCGATTGGACACTTGTCAGAAAAACGGTTTAGAAAAATTGGTAGAAAACTATTTCCTCAAATTGTTAAAAGTTTGTGAAATTACGTCTCCCTCATAAAAACGGTAGGTAAAAAATTGTTTTTTAAAAATAAATAGTCATGTAAATACGTCCCATAATCTCGTCTTGAACAAGATTACGTAAATACACATAGGACGCCTAAATCATCAACATCAATACATTTTTAATCATTTCTTCCCTCTAGAAGTTTATTTTAAAATTCCGAGCGACAAATTTATACTCTGTGAGTTGATTGATAGAATGGTGGATAGGTTTTGAGCCAGTTTCGACGATTTATTTTTTTGAAGGAAGCTTGACATCTCCTCCGCCAAAAAGTGTCAAAATCTGGCGTGTATATTTCTCCTATTTGACAACGACCTGCTCTACAAATTTGTCCAAAATTATAAAAGAAATTCTCAGAGAGTAGAAATAATTAAAAATAGGGTGATTTTGTCAATGAGTTATCGAGCCTTACGTTAGACAAAAAAAATTGTTTTTTTTCTCCAGATCGAAAAGACTCTATCGAGTGAGGTCAACGTTCTCAATCTGGAGCTGGATTTGTACAGACAAACCTTGATCCAATTAAGGGTCACCAATCCCAAGTTTTTCGACGAGATGAATCGGCTGGCCTACGCCCTTCATTGCCTGCAATGGGAGGTGAAGAATTTGGACGCGGCGATTAGCCAGGCAGGGTCGCGGCGCGTCCTCTATGACCAAGCTGCCTGGAGCATCAGCCATCGGGCGTACCTGCTCCGCCACGACATCCGCTTCGTCAAGGCGCAGTTGGGCATTTGGGTGAATCGTAAGTCACCAAACTACTAATTTCAAAATATTTCCACATTTCTGGGTTTTCAGACATAATCATAAAAATTTTTGATATTGCTTGAAAAATGGGTAAATATTTTAGTATTCTTTTCAAAAATAATTGTATCTTGTAAATACTTCTACGATACGACCCAACGAACCTCAATGCGTATTTACTGCAAATCTCAATGCAAGTTAATGCAATTTGGGTGCATAAAAAGATGTAATTATTATTTTGTACGAGACTCGCATAAAATTAGTATCAAAATGTATTCTGTTGACAAACTTGTACTCGAAATGCACTAAATTATTACAAAGTATTTAGTACGAAATGATTACAAAGAAATTAGTGAAGATTCATTGCGTATTTGTGGGCATAACATTCTCATGAGATTTCTGGCATTAAATTCTTACACAATTCGTACCCGGGAAATTGTACAAATAAAAATGCAGTAAACAGGTGCTAGTATTTCCACACAGAATTTGTGCCAATAATTTGGCGATGCTTTATTACAAAATTAGTATTATTTATCTATTCTCGATCAATGCTCTCTAGCAGTCAGTAGTGGTACCAAAGTTTTCTAGCATTCAGTTGTTCAGTTAACCACGCCGTTACTTCCTCCTCATTTAATTTTATTTCTAACCAAACTTAGTGAAACAATTAAAATCATATGTCGGACAATTTGAAAGAGTTTGTGTTGTTCGAGTTCGAACTTGACAAAGGGGTGGAGGTCGTGCCATCCACATGGATTTCCACGGATCGAACTAAGTGCAAATTTCTAAATCCAATTCCGAAGGGATTTTCCAGTGTTCAAAGTGACCAGTGTGCGCTCCCAGATAATGGATGGACTAGTTATGACATATTATATGTTGGGACTTACCGTGAGTATTTGCTATTACTTTTTTTGACGGTCATGATCACCTAGTTATGTGCAAATGTGTTGTTTAAATTGTAGATACGTACGAGAAAGCGATAAGGAAGTTGAAAAAGTATATCACAAATAAACCAATCGACTCAAGTGAGAATGACCAACCACGGCGGCGGCAGCGCAAGGTACCCGAGGAAGGCACGTTTTCAGAGCCTAATAATCCTGAGGCACATATTACTTCCTTGGATTGTGAAAGTAAGTAGAACAATAATAAGTACGACATTAATTCCCCCAGTGAAGATAGAAAATAATAACCAGCTGCGAAATTATAAAGTATAGCTAAGAATCATAATTTAATGTTTAAAACTTTTATAAAAGCAGGGAACGAGGTCATCCTTGGAGCCTCCGCATCAACGGAAGAAGAAATTACCGGGTCTCCACAAGTTCAAGTCTTTCAGTCAGAACCGGACCCGAAAGTTGAATGTCTATTGACAGAATTCAGAAGTAAGGGAAAATTTAATATTCTATTTTTATATGAAAACTTAAACTTATATACAAACTATCTTGTTTTTTTAGAATTTCGGGAGGAATTTTTAAGGTTTCAGGAAGAATCTTTACGTAATCAGCATGTCTTGCTGGAGAGGGTGGCAGGTCTAGAAAAGCTTTGTATAAAATGCACAAGGCTAGCTGGGGAAAATTTGGCAAATATAGGGAAAATCAATTGGCCAGCTAAAACATTGGAAGAACTGGAATCTGTCGAGGCGTTGTTGGAGAATCAGACTTACTATAAACAAGAAGTGAGTACTATGTACATATGTACATACATATACATATATGTATATCAAATATTTTATTACAATAATGCAATGCAATTTTCGCAGTTTCAGGTTGCTCTGTTTGCGAGAAAATGAGGATCGACGCTGTCAAAGGATGTATACGACATTCTTCATTCTATGATTAGCAATGACCTGCGAAGTAGAATTCGATACACTGCAAAAAGTAATAAGATTCCTTTTGCAAATCGACTAGCAGCAAATCTGGTTCGAGGTTCATCATTTTTATTAATTGTGATTAATGAATGAGGGATGTCATTATTATATTTTGTATAACTACAACACTAAAATAATGGATAAATTTTTATATCAATTTGCCCATTGTATGTATATGTCTTTGTATAAGAATGTATATGCACAACATGTATGAATTTGGTGTGTGTGATTTGTACTATGTATGTATGTAGTTGTAATTGTTTATGTACTGTAATATGTAGTAGTAATTGTTTATGTACTGAAATATGTAGTAATTATGTATAAATAAATTGGCATTAATTGGCATCAATCTCATGCGTGTCATTAGCATAAAATCAGCATTCAATTCGCACAAAATTCGCAATATATTAATGCATATTAATTTTCACCAAATTTCTAGAAAATCTCTACAAACCTGTTTGTGTTAATTTTGTACTTAGTTTGTACAAGTAAACTTGCATTGACAATTTTTTGGTATTAATTTTGCACATGAGACTTGTACAAAATAATTACGAATCACCTTGCCATTTTATCGGAAAATATGCATTAATCTAGAAGTACAAATTTACTACATTACTTGCAGACTTTGGTTCGTCTCGAAACGAATTTTTTTTCCTTAATTAAAGAAATTCGATCACACAAAAAAATCCAAATTAAGTAATAAAATTTTGCGCAAATAGTTATTTTTATGATTATTTCCGCAGGTATTTCATAAATATTTTAGTGTTTTTTTTTCTCGCAAGTACTAAATCTATATTTCAGCGTAAATACATATCCGCCCTGTGATGATAAGTTAGCATCACAGTTATCTTTGATAACTGTGTCCCTAAATTTCATGCCTTTAACTAATTGCATCTTAATTTTTAATTGTTGCAGTGGAGAAAAATCCCCCCCCCCCCCGAAGTCGACGATTTTATCGTCTCCGTCGCACAGCGAGTCCTCTGAAGGTCATGGTCCGAATCGCTCCGTGTACTGATGGAGCCCGCAACGGAAGCAGGCCTCCCAGGAGAAGGTGTCTTACAAGTAGTTACTTATTTACCTTTGTACTTGTTAAAGAGAGCAAATTTTCGAATAATTGTTGATAAAATGTATCAAATTAGGATTTCCAGTTTCATACATACATATGAATTTCATATCTCAAACTTCTTATTTGGATATTTTTGAAAAAGTTTTCAATTCAATAAATAAATTTCAAAGAAATGAATTCGACGCTCACTCCACCTTTTTTGCATAATTTTACATACTATCGAGTTATTTTAAGCATTAGTTTCATCATCATGATTACGCATTATTAATTATTATGGCAATTGAGTACTAGAATTCATCATCACACACTAATCAATAACAATAATAAGATAACCGTCTATAAATATGTATGGCTAAGTTAAGTTAGTTCGTTTTTTAAGTGATCACCAAATGATAAGAACACAATAAGATCTAAATTCTATTTGAGCATGAATTCCATACTAAACTTGACCCTGTAAAGCCATGCAGGTAAGCGAATGCGATAAGGCTGCGCTTGTCCCCTTTCACTCGATTGCTCTCTTCCTGTGCGTGTCTTGCCTTGTTTGCTGCTCGGTCACGACGTCGTCAGGTCTTCTTAAAACTGTCCCTTAAAAGTTAATAAGTAAGTTTCCAGGCTGAGATTTCTAAAAGTTATTAATTGTTCCGTAATAACTATAATTTTAAAACTTGCAATAATGGAATCATCAAACGAAGTCATTGAGAATTGTGCCTCCGATTAGGTTCCGAGTTGAAGGTGCACCAGCAGACTTGCGGTTATCGATAAGTTTTCAAATTGGAGTCATTAATTAGATAATGTTAGTTAGGGTTGCAAGTAGAAATTGTATCATTCCTTGTGGAGGATCAGACTCGACTGTCATGTCGAATGTGGAGTGGATGATGTTCCGATGTGCGAATATCTTCAGCACTTGACGACGGTTCACAAAAAGTCAGGGTGTTTGAGGAACGAATTACAGCCACAGCTTTTATGCAAAAGACGGGCCAGAAATATTTCAAGGATGAAAATACTCGTGAGTTTGGCATACATTTTTTTGCGGTGTTTATTTCCAAATTAATACTGTATTAATAATACAGTCCTGTTCTTATCACATATAACGAGTTTTATATACATATTTTGTCCGCGCAGTGAAATACCAACCGCTTGGAATTTTCAAATTGGACTCGACCCAATTCCTGGTCATGGCCGCCGAGGCTAATTCGTAATCCAAACAAGAAGTCAAGACTACATATTTCCCAGTATTATGCGACGACGTGAACGAGCAAAGTCGTAAGGTAACCAATGCTTATCATTATTTTTCATGCAAATAATTAATTCCTGAAATTTAGTGGGTAACCTACCCACGTAATTTTAATAATTAGCTAATTGAAGCGAGGGACGAGATCAAACAGCACCAAGTTGACGTTCGGGCCATTTTGAGTGCGAGCAGCCCAGCCCCCTCGATCTGAAGCGGCAATGAATGATATGAATAAACTCGGGCAAATCCTCGGGGGCAAAGAGAAAAGGGAAAAGCATTTGCCGGCGGGAAAGGTAATCGGGAAAGGCAAAAGCCCAAATATGTATGAATAAACTTTTGCCTTTCTCTTGAGCTTTTCTCTTGAGGGAAAAGAGGATTTCCTCTGTTTTGGGTCATTTGCCGCTTAGATTTTCTCTGAAGCAGTAATAAATTTGGAAAAATAATTACAAATTTTAAAATTAAGTTTTATTAAACCGTCAATCAAAATTAAATTTAAACAGATAAAATTAATTACAAACTAATTCGGATCAAGTTTATCTGCTAAAAGGATCGGATCGGTAAGATTTTACAAAGTAATAGACTCGGAATAACTATTAATAAATCTGATAATTGTTATTTTATTTTCAGATCGTACCATGTCACCGTTATCAGAGGAGGAGGATATTGAGGAAATGGAAAATGCTGAGGCAGACGATAAACAGTTGGTGTTTGCAACAATGCTAAAAGATTATCAAATACTTTTAAGCAAGTCTCAAGTCCCTAGCGTGAAAGAAAAAAAGGATAAGGCAACAAAAGAATTTCTGGCCGCTCTTCAAGAAAAATTGACGCTGGCCCTTATGAAAGGAACTCTTTCCAAGAAAATTTCTCGTATGAAGTCTGAGGTGAAGAAGAAGTGTGACCTAAATCGGACTGGAAACAAAAAATTATTGTTAAAATCTTGGGAAAAGGTAATGGCAGAGTTGATTGGCGCAAAGACAAATCCATCCATTGCCCAAGTTCAGGTTCGATTAGTGAACAAAAAAATATAGTTTAAAACTTACAATAATATAATTATATCAATAAATATATGCATGTATGTAGGGTGCTGTCTCAGTTGGAGTGTCCAGCGGCGTTGCTCGAGCTAAGATTCCAATGCCAAATTTTCTGACCAAGTCGGAAACCACCGTCGAATTAATTGAACCACCACCGAAGAAGCTCCAATCAATTAATGGTTGCATGAAACGGAAGACCGGTGATGACGTATTAAAACTTTTGGAAACTGATGATACCAAAATCTTGTCACTTGCTCAATTGCAACGACTAGTTCTATTGGAACAATTGAAAGTCCTTACTTTGAAACGACAACGATTGGAAAAAGAAACCCCTGCAATCACATATGTTGATGTTAATGTTAATGATGGACCAGATTACGAACTCGCTGATATTTAGATTTTTGTGTTCAATAGAAATGTGTCAAACAAAGTCAGTGGTATTTAAAATTAATTGTTTTATAATTAAAATCCGAGAATAATTCCGTTAAATAATTCAACCAGTAACACGTTAATAATTTACAATCATTAATTGAATATAATTTGTAGTTTAATTGAAAAATAACTATTGATTGTGGAATATAATATTTGCAATGTGATCTCGTTTCTGCTGTCCAAGTTCTCTAATTCTTCGGTCTGAAAGTGTGACGGGGTCTCCCACTGTTGCTGGCTCAGGCTCTCCATTATCATTATTGTCGTCGAGTTCTGGAAAGTCGTCACTATCGTTTAAATATTTGGCAATATTATGCAGCACGAAGCAACAAATAATCACGGATGGGACGGTATGTAGGGCAGTTCGAACTTTGTAATGAAGAATTGGGAAACGTTTTTTGACTTGCCCAAAACAGCGTTCAATGATCACTCGTTCTTTCGCGTATATCTTGTTGAAATGGCGTTGCACATTGTCGACAGGATTTGAGTATGGTGTGATCAGCCAAGGAGATATAGCATATCCAGAGTCTCCCAAGATAATTGTATCTCGTGTTTTATTCATCAGAGAAAACAGATCTGAATTTTTCATAATCCTGCTATCATGTACGGATCCAGGCCACTGCGCGGTGACGCTGGTAAACCACTCTTTGGCGTTGCAGGTCGCCTGCACGTTCAGACTCGGGTAATTTTTCCTGTTTATATATTGATCGCCGTCCTGGTTTGGCTTTGGGATTCGCACATGAGTGCAGTCGACGACACCAATCACAGAAGGAATTTTAAATCGTAGTTGCCAATCCTGTTTGGCTTCCAGGACTTCTGCCACCGTTCGTGGAAACTTTATCCATAACCCGGCTTTTTCTATAATCTTTTGTCTAACCTATAATTAATCGTTGCAGCATTATTTATTGATGATGAGCTCTAATTACTACATTCTATAAATTTAGCACTTTCTTGTACCTCATGGATGGTTCGACTAACGGTGGTTTGATCCACACCGACATCTTCGCCAACACCGGTCTGAAATCCAGGGTCTGCCATATAACGAAGGAATATCTTCATTTTTTGCTCGGATGACAACGCTCCTCCACGATGTTCAAGTTTTTCTCCCAAAAAGTGTGCTGCAATCCATTCCACATTCTTCCTCTCGAACCGGAAAAGAGATTTGAAGTCACAATCACGTGTGTTCACTCTATTCTTGTAGGCTTTTGTCGCTTGAACCACTCCCACTTTCATAAAAGCGGCCATACTCACGTAGAATTTGCAAAAAAACAGCCAATTGTGGTTATAATTAGCTTTTCTCTCCTTGTAGGGGATGGGTTTGACCTGATCGGTATTTTTGGGGCATTTGCCGGAAGGGAAAAGGGATATGCCTGACTTTATTCATACAATTTTTCCCGTCTCACGGGAAAAGGTCAGTGACCCAGGGAACAGCTTTTACTTTTTCCTCTGACCCCAGGAAAGCCAAAAGCTTGTTTTTTTATTCATACAAAATGAGGGATTTTCCTGAAATTGTCAAGGAAAAGCTTTTGCCCGAGTTTATTCATATCAGTCAATGCCTCTTGAGGGCGAGTTTGGTTGGGCGACGCTGAAGCTCGAATTATTTAATATTGACTTTGGAAATGACCATAAACATTTTTGGTTATTATTTGTAGTTATTTATTCAATCTTAGTAAAGGATATACGCAGAGTATGTGTGTGAAAAAAAATATGTTACACAAAAAGTATCGCAAAAATCTGACTGTGCAGCAGTCTCACAAAAGACGTCCCTAAACTTAAAAAAACGCAGATAAATCGCAGAAAAATCGCAGAAAATGCCCGAAAAAAGGGGAGAGGAGAGAGAAAAACGGACTACAAATAGTACACTTCCTCCAGCTCCTTCCCTGGGGGAAGTGTACCGAGAATCGAAGCGACGTTGCCACGTTGAGCGGCCAGAGAAACGCGTTGGCGGAGAAAGTTGACCGCGTTCGCCTGTCCCGTCGTGGCGGCGATCCTCTGTCCAACTTGGAGGATGAAGGCGAGCCCTTCCTGCCCCCTCTTCGTTGTATTTTGACGCAGTTTTAATGTTGTACGTTTTGAAGCCCATCTGATTGGCTTTGATCTTGGGTAGATATGTTTTTGAAATTTTTAGTTTTCTGGGTGCAACCCTCACGGATATGTTAGAGTTGTCTGTAAAAGATTTTTCCACGTTTTTCATGAGTTTATTGGTCTTCAGGCAGACAGGTCGACAAGGCGAAATTTTATATTTCACATTTTCACGATCCTTAGATATGTCTAGTGTATGACTAATTTTGTCCGGGGCATGGCTTCAAAAATGAGGTGGTCATGAGCCCTTTTACGATCCGAGAAAATCACTTTTTCGCACGAGTGGCAGACTAATTTTTCCATCTCCGCTACGTTTAGTGCTGGCATTTTCTAACGAAAAGAGATACTCAAATTCTGTTTTCGGTTTTAGAAAGCTTATCCAATTTGCCAACTTTTATGCTTTTTATATATGCAAAATTAAATGTTACCTGGTGGAACCAAGAGTGGGAACCTTGACACTTACAATATGCGGACACTCTTTATACGTATGTATGCAGATGCCATCATACTTAAATACACTAGGTCAAATTCGCATAACATATATTTTATTGATTCTCTGCCTTATAGTGAACACTAACTTCTTGTTCCATATTCCGTCCAACCGTATTCTTCTTCGTCATTACAAGCTTGGTGAAATAGGAGCCTCCCACCGCGGACAAAACAGCGATGCACACCCCCACGTAAATTTGCACCCATGACGGGGCCTTACTCAAGGGTGAAGATTGTTTCCAAATACGTGAATCTTCTTCGCCGTGCTCCCGAACTGATTTAATGGGTACATTCATTACGAGTTCGTACAAATGTTCTCATGGGAACACAATCATGGAAAAAAAAATTGCGAACTAAATACGGCATTGCAAATAATTTTGAGACGAATCGTCACCCGCGGAGATAGCATGGTGCTCTATTTTTGGGTAACGATTTAGGAGACGTTTTATCACGAGGGGGAGATAAGCCGACAAATTGTATATGAAACACACGTGACGTCTTACTAGTAACAAATTTAGGCAAAAATGCAGAATAACGACCAATTATTAGTTTAAACCCGAATTTTTTAAGTGAAATGTCTCTTCGCATTTCAAGAGAGTCAATTTTGAAAGAACCTAACACATCACTATAATTATTATGATCAACCCGTTTTCTTAAAATAATGGACATAGCAATTTTTTGCACTCTTTCCAATTTGTTAACAAGTTTGATTGGTAACCCAGGACCCCAAACGACGGCACAATATTCTAAACCAGATCTAATATACACATTAAAAGCATGAATTAATTCTGCAGAAAATCCAGACTTAAATAATTTTTTCAGTTGATATAATTTACCCACGGCTTGAGACACAATTCTAGAAATGTGATAGTTCCACTCGGACACTTGGAGCGACAGATTTTATACATATGTATGTAAGCGCTTAAAGAGGATCCACGAAGGTATCGGACCGCCCCGTACAAGGCGCGCTAGGCGGGAACACAGTGAAATTAATTTTCGAAAAAAATATTTTTGAATAGACCAAAGTATAAGCTGTCCAATGATATATGTCACCAATTATCCAGTCATGGCTAAGACTAGAATAACTTGGGTTGAAGGGAAGCAGTTTGGAAAAAGAGTGATTTAGTTTCATAAAAATCTGGCAAACAGTATTTCCAAAATTGCATGGCATTTTTTTTACACAAGAAGGAATTTCTGCATCCAACGTCTACTCATACATAAAAAAGGACGGGGAATCCGATGAAGTCAAATTCAAAGCCCCTACTGGTCGACCTGTAAAGCTAGCGACGACAAAAGTCAAAAATCGGATTTCAAAAATCTTCAAAAATCATCCATCAACGACCTCGGCTGTAGCCGCAAGTAAAGTAAAGATTTCAAAACGCAATCTGTGCAAAATCAAAGTCCACCAACTAGGGATTATAGCGAGAACGAAAAAACCAACCCAACAAGAAAGAATTCATGAATGCTATAAGAAATTTCTGAAGAAGATTCGGGGAAAAGTGGTCATCATGGACGACGAGACCTACGTCACAGCTGACCCTTAAAATCTTCCAGGAAGGCATTTTTTCATAGCTCCAACCCCTGTGAAGTAAAATATGAAGACAAAGTCCAAAAGAAAGAGCACTTCCCAAAAAAAATGAAAAATTTGCAACGCATGTCTAGATTGGTCATGTTTCCGATCGTCATTTTTTAGGGTACTGCAAACCAGGAGGTTTATCTTAAATCATGCATTAAAGGGTGGTTGGAATCTTTATTACCATAGATCATAAAAAATTAAAGTTTTGCTTTGCCTGACCTCGCAAGGTTCAATGACGCCAAAAAGGTCACGGAGTACCTTCATTTGAAAAAAATTGAATTTGTGCCAAAAAATGAAAACCCACCAAATTTTCCTCAACTGCGACCAATTGAGAAATTCTGGGCGTTAGCTAAATTCAAATATTCTAAGCTTTCGAAAACGCCATACACCTTTAGATAATTTAAAAACAGATGGACGAAAATCAGCTTGGAAGTAGGTGCAGTCTATGGGCGGAATTTGATGCGAAATCTGAAGAAGAAAATACAGTCTGTAGCAGACAGCGGAATTGAATCCTTAAAATTTTAACGGCATTGTAGTCCAAACTGTTTGGTAATAAACATATGCAATTTTTTTCAAATTGCCTTAACTGTGTGTAAAGTTCTGGGCATTTTATTGCGTCGGTCCGATAACTTCGTGGATCCTCTATATGTGTGCAAAACATGTAATATGCTAACATACATATTTTTAAACATAATATGTAAATCAGGGTTGCAAGTGGTATATATCACCAAGTGAGATTTAGTGAGGTTTAATGATTTATATCAATCATCTCAGTTGGGGCTGAGTGAGAAATATGAGAAATAATGAGCTAAACTTGCAGTTCATGACCCCGTCCGCTAGGTGGCGCTAGTGCATGGCTCACAAATCTCACTACATCTCATATTTCTCATTATATCTCAGTGAGATGAGATTTCTGCAACCCTGATGTAAATATGTACGATTAAATACTTTGAAAGCATACAAATGTAGTAAGAACACTCTAAATCATTTGGAGACTAATCGTCACCCAGGCTCCGTTTTCGGGTAATGATTACGGGGGCGTTTTGCAAACAACGGGAATTAAATCAAAATTTCGTGTAGCAAACACAAATTAATTCGTTACTTAAATAAATTACACACTGTTATCTGAATCGTTACAAGATTTTGTTTGACGAAAGTTGTAATTTTTTTAATATCCACATAATGTACCCGAAATTTTGATTTATTTCTTGTTGATGACAAAACGTCTCCTTTTACCATTGCACATACCTCCGCGGTTAACAATAACGCATGAAGTTTTTATTTTTATTTAATTATTTTTCATTTCCGTCTAATTGTTTTGCTCAGACTGGATGCCAAGTATGTATGGATGTCTTTATTGAGGTTCAAAATTTGAGACAACTAAGTACATAAATAATTCACCAAATTGGTTAAACTGTCGGAGTGCATGTACACACATTTAAGAGGGTAGGTTTTATCTCAATTTGCCCATTTTAAATTTCCATTGTGTGCCTCATCCCAAAATGTTGCACTAATTCTTGAAATTTCTGAAATTTTTTCCCACAGAAATAGCACGTGCTCCTTTGTTCATCGATCTCGTGTTGGGCCACGTGGCTCCTTTTTTCGTGCTGGGCCACATGTCTCGTCCATAACTCTTCCGAGTAGGTCCTGAATTCGTATTTGTCACACGAACGGACAGGATCCAGATTTAACGGGTGGTCCACTTTTATATGTCGCCTTATACTGGTTTCCAGTCTGAATCTCTTTTTGCAAAATTCGCACGGGAATTTTTTTCGATTTTCTTTCTCCCTCCTGATATGGGCTTGCATGGCACGTTTGCTTAAAAATTTCTTATTGCAGTGATGACAAGGAAGAAATTCTCGGACAGATTTATCCTTGTGCGTGTCCTGAAACGAGATGACACACAAAATATGTAAATGAAGAAGAATACATTTTTAAAAATAATGTCACGCATTTCACAATACGTATGTACTCTAAATTCTGTATTAATTAACCAATCCAAAAATCGATTTGCTCTTTTCGAGTCTACTTTACTCTCAGGATTTAGTATAAATAAATAGTTTACCTAATATATAATTTAGAGTGCATTTACATTTTA